TCATCAAACAGATTTTACTGTCTTGGCTGGACGGGTGGCAAGTGGATGAATCATCCAGAAAAGACATTTTTATTTCCCGTTGGCTGATCTATTGCATAATGAACATTCATTTCTGCCGCTCAGCGATATTATCTGTAACACGGAGCCAGGCAGGGGATCATCACAGAGGGAAAAGCTGAATAATGGATTGTTGGAATAATGTTATGAAGATTTTTTGGTGGAGGACTCTGGAGTCAGTTCAATGAATTATACTTATTGTCCTCCATATTAGATCCTGGACAGTAACACTGCGCCTGTACTTCGCTCTGCATACATCACCCCAACTCACGTCCTGATTGGTAGCTGGAAAATACCAGGAAGTCATGCAAAAAGGGGCATAACCTGTATATATTAACTTACATAGGTCATTCAGATTTCATTTGTTGGTACAGAAACTCTGCCTCTACCTTCGTTCTTCATTTCCTTCCTTCTTTCCTCTTCTTTTTCCTTTCCTTCTTTCTTCTTCTTTTTATGTTCCTTCTTTCCTCTTCTTCTTCCTTTCCTACCTTCCTTCCTTCCTTATTTCTTCTGCTTCCTCCTTCTTTTTCTTCTTCTTCTTCTTTCTTCCCTTCTACCTTTCCTTCTTCTTCTTTTAGTTTCTTCTTTTTCTTCTTCTTTCTTCTTTACCTTTCCTTCATTCCTTCTTCCTTATTTCTTCTTCTTCTTTCTTCTTCTTCTTCCCTTCTTCTTTTTTAGTTTTCTTCCTTTTTTTTTCTTCCTCTTCCTTCTTCTTCTTCCTTCTTTCTCCTTTCTTCTTCTTTCTTCCTATTCTTCATTTCCTTCCTTTTCTTATTCTTTTCTTTCTTCTTTTTTCTTCATTTCTCCTTCTTCCTTTTCTTCTTTCTTTCTCCTTTGTACTTTCCTTCTTTCTTTTATTTCTTTCTCTCTTTCTTTCTTTCTTTCTTTTTCTCTCCTTCCTTCCTTCCCTCCTTCCTTCCCTTCCTTCTTTTCTTTCCTTTCTTCTCTTTCTTCTCCTCCTTCTTCCTTATTTCTTTTTCTTCTTCCTCCCTTCTTTCTTCTTTAGTTCCTTCCTTTTTGTTCTTCTTTTCTTTTTTTTTTCCTTTCTTCCTTCTTCCTCTTTCTTCTTCTCCTTTATGTTCCTTCTTTCTTCTTATTTCCTTCCTTTTTTTTTTTCTTCTTGTTCTTTTTTCTCCTTCTTTCTTTTTTATTTCTCCTTCTTCCTTTCCATCTTTCTTTCTTTCCTTCCTTCCTTCCCTTTCTTCTCCTACTTCCATCTTTCTTTCTTTCCTTCCTTTCCTTTCTTCTCTTTCTTCTCCCTCTTCCTTCCCTTTTCTTTCTCTTTCTTTTTCTTTCTCTCTTTCTTTCTTTCTTTCTCTTTCCATTTCTTCTCTTTTTCTTCTCCTGCTTCTTTCTTCTTCTCCTTTATGTTCTTTCTTTCTTCTTCTTCCTTTCCTTCCTTCCTTCTTTCTTTTTCTTCTGCTGCTTCTTCTACTTCCTCTCATTCCTTCTTTCTCCTTCTTCCTTATTTCATCTTCTTCTCCTTCTCCTTCTCCTTCTCCTTCATTCTTATTCTTATTCTTATTCTCCTTTACTTCCTTCTTTTTTTTTCTCTGTCTTCCTTTCCTTCTTTCTTGTTATTTCTTCCTTATTTCTTCCTCTTTCCCTTCTTTCTTCTGCTTCTTCCTTACCTTTCTTCTTTCTTCTTCCTTTCCTTCATTCTTTCTTCCTTCTTTTTTCTCTGCTTCCCTTTCCCTTATTTCTTCTTCCTTACCTTCCATCTGTCTTCTTTTTCTTTCTTCCTTTCCTTCCTTCTTTCTTCTCTCTTCCCTCTTTTTTCTCTTCTTCTTTCCTTCCATGGTTCCCCTTTCTTCTTCCTTTCCTTACTTCTTTCTTCTTCTTCTTCTAGCATTTATATCCACACTTTAAGAGACAATATTTCAGTAAATGTTGACTGTCCAAGAACAGGATGGGAGGTGTGAAGGTTGTGGAACCAACTGTTTTAGGTACATTATGGTATCCTTGGTGCTGAGAAGTCTGCAGGGGTGTTAATCCCCCAAGTCACACTGTGAAGGAACTGAAGTACGGTACGCATTTCTCAGATCCACTAGGGCAGGCATTATATGTGGAACACTGATGGTGTTGAAGGCCCCACCCCTGTTCAGGGATGGTGGTTCCAGTCTGATGTAAATGCCTCTTGTTGTCCTCTCTGTCCAAAATGTGCACCTCGGTGTCCTTCAAACAACGTCCCTTTCTCTTAAGGTGTAGGAGGACTGCGGAGCCCTGACCTCCTATGTTGGGCAATCCGTTTGCTGATAGGTTGCTTGGTCTTCCTAATTTGGGTGTGATTCTGGTTTTTATTTTAATTTCCTTCCTTACCAGTATGTATCAGTTCCTTGGGTTTGGTGGGGGAGGTTGTATGGAGCTAGGGGTCATGATTAGAATTAGTGCTTTGGGAGCAGTACCCAATTTTCGAGGGAAACCTCCTTGTCCTCACCTCTCCATACGCTGAGGTGCATGCCGATATTATCCTGCCCCCTTGTAGTATGGATGCCAACCTGCATCCCTGGTGTTCTGGTATCAAGTAGGGGGAGGAGCTTTTAAAATAAAATTTAATTTAAAAAGGTTAGGTAAAAAAATTAATTCTTCTGATTTTGAACTTATTTTGAAGCTTCAGGACCTCTGAGGTCGTATCACTGCCATGAGTACTCGCTTCCTTTGGGATTCAAAATGAGGGCGGTATAGGAACAACTTTATTGTTCCACCACTACAGAGAACACTCCACCCAGCTCCTCTTCTGATGTGTTTCACCCTCTACTGGGGCTTCAACATAGAACACAATTAGGGGGGTGAAACATGTCAGAAGAGTAGCTGGGTGGATTGTTCTCTGTAGTGCTGGAACTATAGATTATTTTTCTAATGTCCTCATTTTGAGACTTTGTAAAGTACAGTTCCATTGATATGGAGACCTCCAGCCACCACATTCACTGCTCCTTTTACTGCCGTCCCTCCAACACATTCATGATGAACACAGCCCGGGCTCCATTCATTTGTATGATGATTTGTATGATGAGCAAGGCCTGGTCCCCCCCCATTTGTATGATGAATACGGCCTGGGGCTCTATTATTTATTTAATGAACACAGCCTGGGGCCCCATCCTTTGTATGCTGCACATAGCACAGGTCCCATCATTTGCATGTTATACATAGGCCAGGGCCCCATCATCTCTGCCAATCCCTCCACTGACCTCCGCTAAATGACCTCCACCCCTCTCTGCCAATCCCTCCACTGGTCCCCACTCAGTGTCCTCCACCCCTCTCTGCCAATCCCTCCACTCAGTGTCCTCCACCCCTCTCTGCCAATCCCTTCACTGACCTCCACTCAGTGTCCTCCACCCCTCTCTGCCAATCCCTTCACTGACCTCCACTCAGTGTCCTCCACCCCTCTCTGCCAATCCCTCCACTGGCCTCCGCTCAGTGTCCTCCACCCCTCTCTGCCAATCCCTCCACTGGCCTCCGCTTAGTGTCCTCCACCCCTCTCTGCCAATCCCTCCACTGGCCTCCACTCAGTGTCCTACACCCCTCTCTGCCAATCCCTCCACTCAGTGTCCTCCACCTCTCTCTGCCAATCCCTTCACTGACCTCTGCTCAGTGTCCTCCACCCCTCTCTGCCAATCCCTCCACTGACCTCCATTCAGTGTCCTCCACCCCTCTCTGCCAATCCCTCCACTGACCTCCGCTCAGTGTCCTCCACCCCTCTCTGCCAATCCCTCCACTGACCTCCGCTCAGTGTCCTCCACCCCTCTCTTCTTGTCCCTCCACTGACCTCCGCTCAGTGTCCTCCACTTCTCTCTGCCATTCCTTCAGCTGGCCTCCATTCAGTGTCCTCCACGCCTCTCTGCCAATCCCTTCACTGACCTCCGCTTAGTGTCCTCCGCCCCTCTCTGCCAATCCCTTCACTGACCTCCGCTGTCCTCCAGTCTCTGACAATCCCTCCACTGATCTCCACTCAGTGTCCTCCACCCCTCTCTGCCAATCCCTTCACTGACCTCCGCTCAGATGTCCTCCACCCCTCTCAGTGTCCCTCCACCCTCCGCTCTGTCAATCCACACCCCTCTGCCACCTTCAGCTGGCCTCCATTCAGTGTCCTCCACCTCTCTCTGCCAATCCCTTCACTGCCTCCGCCCTCCGCCCCACTGACCTCCGCCTCAGTTTCCTCCACCCCTCTCTGCCAATCCCTCCACTGGCCCCCGCTCAGTTTCCTCCACCCTCTCTGCCAATCCCTCCACTGGCCCCCGCTCAGTTTCCTCCACCCCTCTCTGCCAGTCCCTTCACTGGTTTCCACTAACCCAATGTATAAAACTCAAAATACTAACCACAGCATACAAAGCCATCCACAACACTGCCCTAGATACATCACCAACCTCATCCGCAGATATCGTCCAAATTGCCCGCTCCGCTCCTCCCAAGATATCTTCCTCTCTAGCTCCCTCGTCACCTCCTCCCACGCTCCCCTTCAGGACTTCTCCGGAGTCTCTTCCATTCTCTGGAACTCTCTACCCCAGTATGTCCGGGTCAGCCCCACCCTGTCTGCCTTTAGGCGATCTTTGAAAACTCACTTATTCAGGGAAGCCGACCCCACCTCCACCTCCACCTAAGAACTGTACTTGAGCCGCCTCCACCAGATCATCCCCCCCAGCTATCACCTTTTGTATCACCTCCCGCCTTCCTTTAGATTGTAAGCTCCACGAACCGGGCCCTCTTATCCCTTCTGTACTGAAATGTATTGTAGCCCCAAGAGCACAGGACAGCTCTGGATTTCTGGCGGGATCCACAGGTATAAAACAATGAGATATTGAACAAAGAAGAGAAGTTGAGTGTTGGGGTGTCTGGGGTGTCCTGAGTGTCCGGGGTGTCCGGGGCATCCTGGGTGTCCGGGGTGTCATGTGTCTATCTCTCTGCTGTGTGTGGTCATGTCTGACCCAGGTCTTCTTCTCTTACAGCTGGAACAGCAGACCCAGTCCCCGTGCTGCTGCCTCCTCCTTGTGTCCGAAGAGAGTCACCAACTGTTCTGCCAGGTAAGTGCGCAGCCAGATCCATGTCCTCGGGGCCTCTCTCTGTGTCTTCATGCCATTTAGAAGAATTAAAGTGACATAAAAATGTTTTTGGTCCGACATTGGGGGGCCCCCTTGATATTTTATGGCTTGTCAATGGACAAGAGTTGATAAGCGTTATGTCTAGCTTCTCATGATGGCGGGCGGCAGGGAGCAAGTCGCCTCAAGCTTAAGGGTCGTCGGCCAGCTTGGCCTGAATGGGAGGAGCTGGCAGGAGGAGGAGGAGGCATCCCCTCCAAGTGTGGCGAAGCAGTTGCGCCACCAGGTAAATTACCCTGGGTGAGGAGAGGCGCCTGCTCAAACGGTGGCTGTGCCACTTGGCCTGGGGAGGAGGAGGAGGAAAGAGGATGAGGAGCTGGGAAGGAGGAGGAGGAGGAGCTGGGAGGAGGAGGAGGAGAAGGAGGAGGAGGAGAAGGAGGAGGAGGCATCCCTTCTAAGTGTGGCGAAGCAGTTGCGCCACCAGGTAAATTATCCTGGGTGAGGAGAGTCTCCTGCTCAAACGGTGGCTGTGCCGCTTGGCCTGGGGAGGAGAAGGAGGAGGAGGAGGAGGAGGAAGGAGGAGGAGGAGAAGGAGGAGGAGGCATCCCCTCTAAGTGTGGCGAAGCAGTTGCGCCACCAGGTAAATTATCCTGGGTGAAGAGAGTCTCCTGCTCAAACGGTGGCTGTGACGCAGCCGGGAGAAGGAGGAGGAGCTGGCAGGAGGAGGAGGAGCTGTTGCATACTCAGATAAGGGTCCTGCATGGATTTTGTGGAGAACAGACCCTTGTCCCCATCAGGTACAACATGTCCCCAAAGCTCCCCATGTTGAAGGAGTGGCCTGGTAAACGGTGGGGGGGGGGGGGGCACTCACCCCCCCGCACTTCTTTGCTAGGGGGCTGGCAGATAAGGGCAGTATGGAGTTTGGTAGGACCCTCATACATACCGATTCTGATTGCCCATAGACCCCCACAACCACCACCCAGGGTTGTGGGGAACAGACCCTTGTCCCCATCAACATGCAACATGTCCCCAAAGCACCTCCCCATGTTGAGGGCATGTGGCCTGGCATGGTTCGGGGGGGGGGGGGGCACTCACTCCCCCCGCACTTCTTTGCTAACCTGTTGGGCTCAGATAAGGGTCCAGTATGGAGTTTGGTAGGACCCTCATACATACCGATTCTGATAAAACCCCCGCCCATAGACCCCCACAACCACCACCCAGGGTTGTGGGGAAGAGACCCTTGTCCCCATCAACATGCAACATGTCCCCAAAGCACCCCCCCCATGTTGAGGGCATGTGGCACTGGTATTGTTTGGGGGGAAGGGGGAGACACTTGCTCACCCCCACCCCCCCCCCTTTCTTTACTGACCTGCTGTGCTACATGCTCAGATAAAGGGTCCGGTATGGATTTGGGGAGACCCCCTTGCTGATTCTGATAAGACCACCCACCCGCAGACCCACAACCACCCACCCAGGGTTGTGGGGAAGAGACCTTGTCCCCTCCCCGGGGGGGGGGGCACTCACTCCCCCCCGCATTGCTGATTCTGATAAAACCCCCACCCGCAGACCCCCACAACCACCACCCAGGGTTGTGGGGAAGAGACCCTTGTCCCCATCAACATGACCCCCCCCCCCCACATGTTGAGGGCATGTGGCCTGGTATGGTTTGGGGGTGGAGGGGGGGGCACTCACTCACCCCCCCTTCTTTCCTTACCTGCATGCTCAGATAAAGGTCCAGTATGGGTTCTAGGGGGACCCCATGCCAATTCCGATAAGACCCCCGCCCGCAGACCCCCACAACCACCACCCAGGGTTGTGGGGAAGAGACCCTTTTCCCCATCAACATGCAACATCTCCAAAGCACCCCCCCCATGTTGAGGGCATGTGGCCTGGAATGGTTTGGGGTCTGTGGGGGGGGGTCGCTCTTGGTGGTGTTTGATCACCGCCGGGGTTTTTTTTTTACATTTTTTATTATATAAACAAAAAAAGACCAAAAGTTTGGGGGAAAAAAAGAAGGAAGTCATAAAAAGATGGCCGGTGTGTAAACGGCGCGCTCCGCCAGCCCCAGCGCGTCCTTTGAAGCCTCAGATCTTTGATGAGCGAGTCAGTAGAATGTGCCCCCCCCCCCCGCCATTCGCACAGCTGGCTGTTTACACGCCATGGATCAGCGCAAATAATGATCGTCGGAGGAGCGCGGCGCCGTCTTCATCTTGGTATGAATCACGGAGAAGGTTAATTGGCTGCGATCATCTCGGAAACGCTGGATCCATAATCTGCCGCTTTCCCCCTCGCCGCGCTTTGCAGGATCCCAGGATACGCCTGTTTAGGAGCATCCCCGCCCCCACAAACCTCAGATTTAACCCTTTCTCTGCCACCGCCGTTCTTGCTGGGGGGGGGGTTGGCACTCAGGTTTAGTGGTCGATCGCACTGGTCCGATTTGCAAATTGAAATGGCATCTGATGAATGCCGGCAATTTGCCACAGCGCCATTTCTAAAGCCGTCCTGGCGAGACTTTTTCTGATGCTTTGTTGTGATTTCACTGGTGTAGAATAGAATGGAGATCGCACTGCGAATCGCAAGAAGTCGTTCAAAATCTTCACAAGTCGCAATAAAGTCTTCAGAGATCGCGCCTGAAATGGCGCTGAAATTGCACACAAATCGCACGATTTTTAAATTGGAAGATGAGTTCTACCGTATTGCCCAAAGTATTGGCCCCGCCCTCCAAATCATGTGATTCAGGTGCTCCATGGCCTCCACGTGGATGCACAGAGAAGTGTAGGATCTAATAAAATAGAAAATAAAAGAATGGAATAGAAAATAAAGGAATAGAATAGAAAATAAAAGAATGGAATAGAAGATAAAAGAATAGAATAGAAAATAAAGGAATAAAATAGAAAATAAAGGAATAAAATAGAAAATAAAGGAATGGAATAGAAAATATAGGAATAGAATATAAATTAAAAGAATAAAATAGAAAATGAAAGAAAAGAATAAAAAAAATAAAGGAATAGAATAGAAAAAAATAAAAGAATAGAAAATAAAGGAATAGAATAGAAAATAAAAGAATGGAATAGAAAATAAAACAATAGAATAGAAAATAAAGGAATGGAATAGAATAGAAATTAAAAGAATAGAATAGAAAATGAAAGAATGGAATAGAAAATAGGAATAAAATAAAAAAGGAATAAAATAGAAAATAAAAGAATGGAAAATAAAAGAATAGAATAGAAAGGAATAGACTAAAATAATATAGAATATAGCCATCTTCCGAAATTTGAATTTTGAAATTCAAATTTTGAATAAAATAGAAAATAGCTGTCTTCTGATTCTTGAAAGGAATAGTATAGAATAAAACAAAATAGAATAGAACAGAAAACCCCATTAAAATGAATGGGTAAATCTAGACGCGATGCGTTGGTCGCGCTCGGTCGCAGCCTAAATCTATAAACGGGAATAAATATCCGTCACTATAAATATGTGGAAAAAATGTTTACAATGTATCGATCGCTTTATCTAATTTATTTGTTGCTGCCAAACGATGGCGGTTAATGGCGCTGTCCCTTTAATTTGTTGCAGGTAGTCGGAGAGAAAGTACTTGAGGAAGAAATCAGCTTCCCGGTGAGTGGATTTAATCTCGGCCCAGGGTCACCGGCGCTTCCTTGCAGGGTGTTGGCGGAAGGGATGAATGGCACGGTTGGGTTCTGGATGCAGTCAGGGGCTGATCTGTGTCGGACATTTGTGAACACAGCCAAGACGTGAAATAATTATATTTTGCGGGAAGGAATCTGAAAAATGTTTTTATTCCCCTCAGCTGACATTCGGACATCTGGGCCAAGTGGTGGACAAGAAGAAGTCGATCACGCTGCATGACATCAGTTCGGTCAGTACCTGTTCCCTTTCTGTTGATGGTGGATTGGTAATCACATACATAGGTGGCCCTTGTCCTATCCTTTTTCCCTTGGGGTGCAGCCCATGTTGTACGCATGGTAGGACTGTTCCCCAAACACCTCTGAGTTCCCCAAGAAGCAAAAGACGAAACGCATTGAACTAAGCCTCAGGTAGACCTTATTCTTCAAGGGACCTGCCAGAGCAAAGTCCACTAAAGAACTAGGGAGACCCCATGGAAGGCGGAGAATCTGATCATAAGATCCCCCCTCCAAGACTTTCAGGGCAAGTCCAAGGACCTACACCCTACTAAACGGGAGTGACCAAGAAGGGTCTAACTCCACATGATGGAACTTTATATGACACTAGAGCAAGCAACAGGTGGGAACATTCCAAGGTGGGTGGAAACAGTCCTACACCCAAAGTGGGTGAGAAGGAATACAGAGACATTAGGAGATAAAGTTCCTGACTCTGATCTCCAGAAGGCAAGACTCCTGACGGGGTTTGAGGTACTCCTGGTCCACCTCGCCAAAACCTGGTGGACTTTATTCTTCAGGGGGACTTTCCCAAAATCAGGTGGATCTTATTCTTTGAAGGACCTGCCAGGGCAAAGTCCACCAAAGAACTAGGGAGACCCCATGGAAGGCGGAGAATCTGATCATAAGACCTCCCCTCCAAGACTTTCAGGGCAAGTCCGAGGACCTACATCCTACTAAACAGGAGTGAGCAAAAGGGGTCTCCCTCCACTTGATGGCAACACTCCTGACATGGTTTGAGGTACTCATGGTCCACCGTGCCAACACCTGGTGGACCTGATTCTTCAAAGGACTTTCCAAAAACCAGGTGGATCTTATTCTTCAAGGGACCTGCCAGAGCAAAGTCCACCAAAGAACTATGGAGACCCCATGGGAGGCAGAGAATCTGATCATAAGACCTCCCCTCCAAGACTTTCAGGGCAAGTCCAAGGACCTACACCCTACTAAAACGGGAGTGAGCAAAAGGGGTCTAACTCCACATGATGGCAAGACTCCTGACATGGTTTGAGGTACTCATGGTCCACCGCGCCAAAACCTGGTGGACCTTATTCTTCGGGGGGGACTTTCCCAAAACCAGGTGGACCTTATTCTTCAAGGGACCTGCCAGAGCAAAGTCCACCAAAGAACTAGGGAGACCCCATGGGAGATGGAGAATCTGATCATAAGACCTCCCCTCCAAGATTTTCTGGGCAAGTCCAAGGACCTACACCCTACTAAACGGGAGTGATCAAAAGAGGTCTCCCTCTACATGATGGCAAGACTCCTGATGGGGTTTGAGGTACTCATGGTCCACCGTGCCAAAACCTGGTGGACCTTATTCTTCAGGGGACTTTCCTAAAACCAGGTGGACCTTATTCTTCGATGGACCTGCCATAGCAAAGTCCACCAAAGAACTAGGGAGACCCCATAGAAGGTGGAGAATCTGATCATAAGATCTCCCCTCCAAGACTTCCAGGGCAAGTCCAAGGACCTATGCCCTACTAAACGGGAGTGAGCAAACGGGGTCTAACTCCACATGATGGAACTTTATATGATACTAGAGCAAGCAATGGGTGGAGTGGGAACATTCCAAGGTGGGTGGAAACAGTCCTACACCCAAAGTGGGTGAGAAGGAATATTGAGACATTAGGAGATAAGGATCCTGGCTCTGATCTCCAGGAGGCAAGACTCCTGATGGGGTTTGAGGTACTCATGGTCCACTGCGCCAAAACCTGGTGGACCTTATTCTTCAGGGGACTTTCCCAAAACCAGGTGGACCTTATTCTTCGAGGGACCTGCCATAGCAAAGTCCACCAAAGAACTAGGGAGACCCCATAGAAGGTGGAGAATCTGATCATAAGATCTCCCCTCCAAGACTTCCAGGGCAAGTCCAAGGACCTACGCCCTACTAAACGGGAGTGAGCAAAAGGGGTCTAACTCCACATGATGGAACTTTATATGATACTAGAGCAAGCGAGGAACATTCCAAGGTGGGTGGAAACAGTCCTAAACCCAAAGTGGGTGAGAAGGAATACAGAGACATTAGGAGATATCTCCGCCTACTTATTCAGCCATTGGTTAATGTGCAGGAAGGAGCCGTAAGCTGGTCTGCTATTGGCCATTTGGAGTAATTGTCCTTTCCTTATCTCCTTAGGAAGAGCACAAGCAGCTGAACAACATGTTGGGTTTCGAGGTTCGCTCCATGCTGTGTGTTCCGGTGATCTGTCGGGCGACGTCGCAGGTGGTGGCACTGGCCTGCGCGTTCAACAAACAAGGAGGAAAGTAAGTGCACAGCAGTCAGGATCTCTACAACGTACATTCGTTACAGTGGTGGGAACGTAGCTTTGCTTCTGTGGGTGCAACGAGGAGCACTTTGGGTGGAAAGTCCTGTGGGAATTGGTTTGCTTTCAGATTTTGTTAGTAAAAGGATACCGCCAACGCGTTTCACGGGGTTGTGCTCCTCCTTCTTTGGGGCTGGAGGAACATACTGGTTGGAAACACAAATGCAGGGACCAAAGGAACAATGCTTCCTTGGTCAAATCCTAACCTCTAGTTCTTAAGCTGGTAAGTACCATGCAACCACTGGGGGGGCCCTGAGGAAGGGCTAGCCCGGTCCCCCTGAATTTTGTTAGCTGTATCGTATTGATGAAGTCTGGAACCCAACCACCTACCGTATGCGTATCATTCTTTTATTTGAGGGACATACACAGAAGTCATCAGTCTGAGGAACCCACATCTTGTTCTTAGCCCAGTAGGCCTCCATCAGAGAACCTCCAAGAGTTCTCAGACACAATCAACACTGGAATCAGCCAATCGGGGAGCCACCATTTCCTTGAAAACGTGTGTAGAGATACCTCCTGAAGGGACCGCTTGATAATGCTTCTCCCCAGTGGTCACCTTGACCTTGAACACCTCCCGACACCTCTGACACCTGGGGTTCAGACATACTTCAACAGTGTAGAAGACACAGTTCTTTGGGAACACCTCTAGATCAGTCCTGTTCAGGACAGGGGTCTCCAAACTTTCTAAACAAAGGGCCAGTTTATTGTCCTCCAGACTGTGGCCCTTGGAAGTAGAAATTGTCCTGGCGTCAGTAGGAGCAAACATTGCGTCTGAGGAAAGCTCAGGACCTCATGGGCCCCCAGAGGGAGGACCACCTGTGCAGCGGGGAAGGTGCAGCCCAGCAGAAGGCCTGAGAGCAGCGACCGACCCATCGGCTCACAGAAAGAGGACTGAGTGAGTAGACCGGCACCCCCCTGGGCCAGTAGGGGGAGGAGCACTCGCTGTGCAAAGTCGTGATTGTCATCAAAACGCGCGTTTTAGAAGCCGTACATCAGCCACAAAAGGTGCGTCAGATTCGTTTCCGCGACAAACGCCCTGTGTGTGAAATGCGTGACAATCGGTCTGAAATCGTGAGCGGAAGTGCGAAAACGCTCGCAGGTTCAGTAGCGCCTACGTGTTACAATGTACAGTCTGATCACTGGGGAAGGGGAGACTGAGGAAATGCCTCCTCCTCCTTCTACAAAGTTACAATGTACAGTCTGATCACTGGGGGAGGGGAGACTGAGGAAATGCCTCCTCCTCCTTCTACAAAGTTACAATGTACAGTCTGATCACTGGGGGAGGGGAGACTGAGGAAAATGCCTCCTCCTCCTTCTACAAAGTTACAATGTACAGTCTGATCACTGGGGGAGAGACTGAGGAAACACCTCTTCCTCCTCTTCTACAAAGTTACAATGTACAGTCTGATCACTGGGGGGAGGAGACTGAGGAAACACTTCCCCCTCCATGTGGTTCTCGGGGTCCCCAGACTAATGAGAGTACAAAAGGCAATAAAAGTACATCAGATATTTCGGTCTAACAGTGGAATGGAATGTCGGGGCCCTCGGTGGTGGTATTAGTAGTGAGGGAGCTGTGTGCATTCCATAGGCAGGCTCTGCTTCCTCCTGATCACAACAGGCAATCTCTGATGATGTGAAACAGCCACACGGCTCCTGGCAGCCAAGCACCACATCTGCCGGGCTGCCTGCCACTGAAGGGACTCTGGATCGGAGCCTCCCAACCTTTATCCAGCCCTTTAAAAGTATGCAAAATCCAGAGTCTCCCATCACACCAGAACCCCCCCCCCCCCTTCATATCAGAGTCCTCCCATCACACCAGAGTCTCCCATCACAGCAGAGGTCCCCCCATCACACTAGAATATTCCCATCACACTAGAGATCCCCTCATCACATCAGAGACCCCCATCAGATCCGAGGTCCCATCATCACATCAGAGTCTTCCCATCACACCAGAGTCCCCCATCACATCAGAGGTCCCCCCATCACATCAGAGGTCCCCCCATCACGCTAGAGATAATCCCCCATCACACCAGAGATCCCCCCCATCACACCAGAGATCCCCCCATCACAGAGTCCCCCCATCACATCAGAGATCCCCCATCACACCAGAGTATTCCCATCACACCAGAGATCCCCCATCACACTAGAGTATTCCCATCACATCAGAGAGATCCTCCCATCACACCAGAGATCCCCCCATCACATCAGAGGTCCCCCCATCACATCAGAGTCTCCCATCACACCAGAGTCTCCCATCACATCAGAGGTCCCCCCATCACATCAGAGGTTCCCATCACACCAGAGATCCCCCCATCACATCAGAGACCCCCATCAGATCCGAGGTCCCATCATCACATCAGAGTCTTCCCATCACACCAGAGTCTCCCATCACATCAGAGGTCCCCCCATCACATCAGAGATCCCCCCATTACACATCCCCCCCCCAGAGAGATCCCCCCCATCACATCAGAGACCCCCCCCCACCATCACATTAGAGGTCCCCCCATCACATCACATCAGACATCACCCCATCACATCAGAGATCCCCCCCCCACACATTCAGTTTCCCATCACACCAGAGATCCTCCCATCACATCAGAGGTCTTCCCATCACATCAGAGTCTCCCCCCACATCAGAGGTCCCCCCATCACACTAGAGTCCCATTACACCATCCCCCCATCAGATCCGAGACCCCCATCATCAAACCCTAAAGTCTCCCATCACATCAGAGGTCCCCCATCACATCAGAGATCCCCCCATTACACCAGAGATCCCCCCATCACAAGAGATCCCCCGGATCACACCAGAGATCCCCCCATCACATCAGAGGTCAGCCCCATCACACACAGAGTCTCCCATCACATCAGAGTCCCCCCATCACACCAGAGATCCCCTTATCACACCAGAGTTCCCCCCCATCACACCAGAGATCCCCCCCATCATCACACAGAGATCCCCCCATCACACCAGAGATCCCCCCCCATCAACCATCTAGTCCCCCCATCATCAGATGTCCCCATTACACCAGAGATCCTCCCATCACATCAGAGGTCCCCCTATCACATCAGAGTATCTGGACATGTCAGAGTCCCCCATCTGGAGGTCCCCCCATCACATCAGTCTCCCATCACATGGTCCCCCCATCAGCAGGCCCAGTCTTCTCCATCACATCATGAGGTCCCCCCCATCACACTAGAGTATTCCCATCACACATCTTCAGAGATCCTCCCATCACACCAGAGGTCCCCCCATCACATCAGGTATCCCATCACATCAGTTCTCCCATCACATCAGAGGTCTCCCATCACATTGAGGTTCCCCATCACATCAGAGACCCCCCTCACATCAGAGCTCCCATCATCACATCAGTCGTCCCATCACACCAGAGTCTCCCATCACATCAGAGGTCCCCAACTTCTGTTCCCTGACCCCCCCACCATCACATTAGAGGTTCCCCCTCTTCACATCAGAGTTCCCCCAGTCATCAGAAGTGTCCCCCCCCCTTCACAGCAGAGGTCTTCCATCACATCAGAGTGTCATCACCACATCAGATACCACCTTCACCACAGAGTCCTCCCCATCATAATGTCCTCTATCCATCTCTGATCCAGGACAAACTAGGTGTCATGCTTGCAGCACCCCGGGTGTGTCACGGCTCCCCTGAGGATCACTGCTGCAAAGTCCTGGCCTCTATTGTTCCTCAGGGTCAATGCAAGTCAGCCTGATGGATGAGGAGGAATACAATCCCACATGTTATCTGAGGAGTTCTGAGCGGGGAGGCTGAGTGATTGCACAGGAATACTGAGGACTGAGGATCTGTAAATCTGTAATTGAGTGTGGAAATCCCCACATGTAACATACATGATGGGAATCCTTGGAGGTTCCCCACATCTTCTGTTCCCTGCTCATGTCTGGGCAGCTGGAGTGTTCACTGAAAACAAGACCCTCGGCAGGCCCATCTTCTGTTCCCTGTCCAAGTCCCAGTGTGTATTGAGGTTTAGCGACATCTTCTGTTCCCTGCCCTGGGCCCGGGGTCAGTATTGAGGTTCCCATGACATGCCCCTGTACCTCTCATAGGCTTTTTTGGGTGTCCTTTGAGTGTGGGTTGAGGACACAGGGGCCCCAATATTTGCTGTTCCCTGGGCCCCATGAGTTGTCATTCCGCCCCTGCCCTGTGTGTATTGAGGTTCCCCACATCTTCTGTTCCCTGCCCTGTCCTCATGTGTATTGAGGTTCCCCACATCTTCTGTTCCCTGCCCTGTCCTCATGTGTATTGAGGTTCCCCACATCTTCTGTTCCCTGCCCTGTCCTCATGTGTATTGAGGTTCCCCACATCTTCTGTTCCCTGCCCTGTCCTCGTGTGTATTGAGGTTCCCCACATCTTCTGTTCCCTGCCCTGCCTGTCCTTGTGTGTATTGAGGTTCCCCACATCTTCTGTTCCCTGCCCGGTCCTCATGTGTATTGAGGTTCCCCACATCTTCTGTTCCCTGCCCTGTCCTCATGTGTATTGAGGTTCCCCACATCTTCTGTTCCCTGCCCTGTCCTCATGTGTATTGAGGTTCCCCACATCTTCTGTTCCCTGCCCTGTCCTCGTGTGTATTGAGGTTCCCCACATCTTTCTGTTCCCTGCCCGGTCCCTCGTGTGTATTGAGGTTCCCCACATCTTCTGTTCCCTGCCCATGTTCTCTGCTGAACATAAACCGCCATGACGGTATAAAAATACAAATTGGTCTGGTTTTTGGGGGGGACTCTTGAAGATTCTTGGACTGTTCTATGGTTCCGGGGTTCATGTAAAGGGATATTCAGTGATAATGTCTTCTGTCCGTCTCCTTCCAGCTACACAGAGGTAGATGAGCACATCATCCAACATTGCTTCTGCTACACGTCCACCGTCCTCACCAGCACCCTGGCCTTCCAGAAGGAGCAGAAACTAAAGTGCGAATGTCAGGTAACCCCAACCTACCAACCAGCCATTGCCATTCCTCTGTCCTCCACCCATCTCTTCTACCTGAATCCTTCTGTCCTCCACCCATCTCTTCTACCTGAATCCTTCTGTCCTCCACCAATCTCTTCTACCAAAATCCCTCTGTCCTCCATCCATCTCTTCTACCTGAATCCTTCTGTCCTCCACCAATCTCTTCTACCTGAATCCCTCTGTCCTCCATCCATCTCTTCTACCTGAATCCTTCTGTCCTCCACCCATCTCTTCTACCAGAATCCCGCGTCCTCCACCTGTCTCTTCTACCTGAATCCTTCTGTCCTCCACCCATCTCTTCTACCTGAATCCTTCTGTCCTCCACCCATCTCTTCTACCTGAATCCTTCTGTCCTCCACCCATCTCTTCTACCTGAATCCCTCTGTCCTCCATCCATCTCTTCTACCTGAATCCCTCTATCATCCACCCATCTCTTCTACCTGAACACTTCTGTCCTCCACCAATCTCTTCTACCTGAATCCTTCTGTCCTCCACCAATCTCTTCTACCTGAATCCCTCTATCCTCCACCCGTATATTCTACCTGAATCCCTCTGTCCTCCACCATCTCTACTACCTGAATCCCTCTGTCCTTCACCCATCTCTACTACCTGAATCCATCTGTCCTTCACCCATCTCTTATACCTGAATCCCTCTATCATCCACCCCATCTCTACTACCTGAATCCCTCTGTCCTTCACCCATCTCTACTACCTGAATCCATCTGTCCTCCACCCGTCTCTTATACCTGAATCCCTCTGTCCTCCACTCATCTCTTACACCCATATCTGTCCTTCACTCATCTCTTACCCCCGTATCTGTCCTTCATTCATCTTACACCCGTATCTGTCCTGCATTCATCTTACACCCGTATCTGTCCTCCATTCATCTCTTACCCCCGTATCTGCCCTTCACTCATCTCTTACACCCATATCTGTCCTTCACTCATCTCTTACCCCCGTATCTGTCCTCCATTCATCTTACACCTGTATCTGTCCTCCATTCATCTTACACCTGTATCTGTCCTCCATTCATCTTACACCTGTATCTGTCCTGCATTCATCTTACACCCGTATCTGTCCTGCATTCATCTTACACCCGTATCTGTCCTCCATTCATCTCTTACACCCGTATCTGTCCTCCATTCATCTCTTACACCCCGTATCTGTCCTCCATTCATCTCTTACACCCGTATCTGCCCTTCACTCATCTCTTACACCCGTATCTGTCCTCCATTCATCTCTTACACCCGTATCTGTCCTCCATTCATCTCTTACACCCGTATCTGTCCTCCATTCATCTCTTACACCCGTATCTGTCCTCCATTCATCTCTTACACCCGTATCTGCCCTTCACTCATCTCTTACACCCGTATCTGTCCTCCATTCATCTCTTACACCCGTATCTGTCCCTTCACTCATCTCTTACACCCGTATCTGTCCTCCATTCATCTCTTACACCCCGTATCTGCCCTTCACTCATCTCTTACACCTGTATCTGTCCTCCACTCATCTCTTACACCCGTATCTGTCCTTTATTCATCTCTTACACCCGTATCTGTCCTTCACTCATCTCTTACACCCCGTATCTGTCCTCCATTCATCTCTTACACCCTATCTGCCCTTCAGTCATCTCTTACCCCTGTATCTGCCTTCATCATCTCTTACACCCGTATCTGTCCTCCACTCATCTCCTATACCCCAATCCCTGTGCCTTCCACCCATCTCTTGTATCTATCTGCCTATCCGTTTTCCAAGCATTTGACTTCTTGACATTCCCCATGTCATTGGTGGCCCCTGTTGCAAGCTTCTGGTGTGCACAGATGTCTTTTGTATATGAGTTGTTGGTGGTTCATCTTTTTTTTTTTCCATTTTTGGTAATAGATTCATAACCACTAGTGTCCTCTCCACCCATCTCTTCTACCTGAATCCCTCTGTCCTCCACCCATCTCTTCTACCTGAATCCCTCTGTCCTCCACCCATCTCTTCTACCTGAATCCCTCTGTCCTCCACCATCTCTTCTACTTGAATCCTTCTGTCCTCCACCCATCTCTTGTACCTGAATCCCCTCTGTCCTCCACCCATCTCTTATACCTGAATCCCTCTGTCCTCCACCCATCTCTTCTACCTGAATCCCTCCGTCCTCCATCCATCTCTACTACCTGAATCCCTCTGTCCTCCACCCATCTCTTCTACCTGAATCCCTCTGTCCTCCACCCATCTCTTCTACCTGAATCCCTCCGTCCTCCATCCATCTCTACTACCTGAATCCCTCTGTCCTCCACCCATCTCTACTACCTGAATCCCTCTGTCCTCCACCCATCACTTCTACCTGAATCCCTCTGTCCTCCACCCATCTCTTCTACCTGAATCCCTCTGTCCTCCACCCATCACTTCTACCTGAATCCCTCTGTCCTTCACTTATCTCTTACCCCCGTATCTGTCCTTCACTTATCTCTTACCCCCGTATTTATCGCTCCAAATGAGACCTTTTCTCAGAACATTAAGAGCTATTTAGAGGGGCAGATGCATCCAAACTAGAGGAAAAGAAAATCAGTGTAGAATTGGAGGTGTGGCCCTCAAGAGCCAATCAGAATTGTTGAGTTTTCTGTGACAATCAAAGTTTGTTGCTATGGGCAAGAACCCCGATTGTGTGCTGCTTCCTCCATCCCCGTAGAGATGCCGAGGGATTTTATCCCACAGGAAGGCTGATGGCCGCTTTCCGTGACGTGGAACTCTCACAGAGAACGCTGGACAAATGAACTTGTAAATCTTTTACGTACACGGCTGTTTATCTTACTTAATCCAACTGAATTCTGGGGTCAGAATGGAATTTTTTTGTGGTCGTAGTTTTCCCAGGGCGGTTTTGTTTTTCCTTCCTTTGGACCAGAAGGTGTCGGAGATGACCAGCTGAGCACGATGGACATTTGTCTTTTTTCCGGCTTTGGTGGCCACCACAAATAGAAATTTGGCCAAGTTGAGTGTTGGCGGGTCATCAGCTCGTGGAGGGAGGGAGAGAGAGTCAGTCGTTCACACAGCTGCTGATCCGCTGATGAATGGCGCTCATTTTCATGTAATTAACCCAGATCTTAATATGCAGAGCTCTGTGTCAGAACATCGATCTTCTCACAAACATCTCAAGGGCAGAAGAGGTGGCCGGTTCGGCTATTAGCAGTTCAAAGCATCGGGCAACTGCTGCAGATTATTCCAGCTAGCCTTCACCTACTTTTTCTGCAAAAAATCACTACCGAGCAAAGTATGGGTGACTACATGATAGGGGATGTATGGACAACTTTGTCACTGGGGCCCCCTTTGCTGGTCATTGGACTCCACCTGACTGCTCCACCAGGGGGTGCTGAACAAAGTTACAAACTCGGGCTCAAGAATGCCTCTCTATATATGCCCCATGCTTGGTTTGTGCCCCGATCTGATGTCACATGACCGTGGTGAAAAAAGTAAGGATGGAATTCAAATCAGCCGGGGCCCTTGCTGAAGCAGGGCCCCACAACAGCTGCGTCCCCAGTTCCTACACCAGCCTATTGATACACTTTTGCATACAATCTCTCAGTGCCTTAAATTGGACAAGATGTATTGAACCTGCTATTGGTACTGAAGACATTGGACCTGTAAGACCCTTGGACCCTTGTATGGGGATTAGACGTATTTTTGGTGCAGGGTGTTTATTTGCAGGTATGGCAGAGTAGGTCCCCTTTGAACCCCCCCAGGAACGCCTAGAAATGCCAAGGGAAGGGGAGGGTCAGTAGACCCTGGGAGAAGAGAGCAGGAAGGAAGAAAGATAAAGCTGCTGTGCCCCTCCCCTCCCCATGGGGGAGAGCAGGTTGTCATAGGGGTCCCCTTTTCAGGATCCTTGGGGAGATGAGGCAATGTTATTCTACTGTAGAGCTGAAGGTGGGACTTGGTTTGCCCATTGATCCCCCCATTACAGGAAGGAAGCTATTTCAGCTACCTAGAGCTGAAGGTGGGACTTGGTTTGCCCATTGACCCCCCCCCCCTTCCCATTACAGGAAGGAAGCTATTTCAGCTACCTAGAGCTGAAGGTGGGACTTGGTTTGCCCATTGATCCCCCCCATTACAGGAAGGAAGCTATTTCAGCTACCTAGAGCTGAAGGTGAGACTTGGTTTGCCCATTGATCCCCAACAATAGACCACCAGCAACATTAGATTCCACAGAAACAATAGCCCCCCACACGGCAACAATAGACCCCCTGCAACAAAATACCTCCCACCAACAAAAGATCCCCCAGTAACAATAGACCCTCACCAGGGAAAATATAGTAGAAGCAATAATAATAATAATAAACAATAGACCCCTCCCACAACAATAGATCCCTTCCAGTAGCAATTGACCCCCTAAGAACATAAGATCCCCCCAGCCACAAAAGATCCTCACCAGGGACTATAAACTCTGCTGCAACAAGAGGTCCCCACCAATGACTATAAACTCCATTGCATCAACAGATCCCCCCAGCAACATTAGATTCCACAGAAACAATAGCCCCCCACCCGGCAACAATAGACCCCCTGCAACAAAATACCTCCCAACAACAATAGATTCTCCAGTAACAATAGACCCTCATCAGGGACAATATAGTAGATCTCCTAGAAGCAATAAATAATAATAATAATAATAAACAATAGACCCCTCCCACAACAATAGATTCCTCCCAGTAGCAATTGACCCCCTAAGAACATAAGATCCCCCCAGCCACAAAAGATCCCCACCAGTGACTATAAACTCCGCTGCAACAAAAGATCCCCACCAACGACTATAAACTCTGATCCCCCAGCAACATTAGATTCCACAGAAACAAAAGCCCCCCCCCCACACCCAGCAACAATAGACCCCCTGCAACAAAATACCTCCCAACAACAATAGACCCCCCAGTAACAATAGATCCTCACCAGGGGCAATATAGTAGATCTCCTAGAAGCCAGCAACAATAGACCTCTCCCTC